AGCTTCTGACTACCACAGAGTCTGGAAGGCAAGTWCCAGAAAAGTGGAATTGTGTGAATGTGGCTAAAAAATTAAGTCCTGAATGCAGGAGAAAAAAGTATATGGGAGATGGAGGAGACGAGACCAGAGGGTGAATTTGTAGGCAGCTCTGTAGAGCCTTGTGGGCAAAGAGAAGAAGATGAATGCCATGGCAGAGRGAGAAAGTAATTTTTGCAGTGGTGTTTTGGAGGAATATGAATCAAAGAGGCCAGAAAGAGGAATTAGCAGTGAAAAGGACAAGCACTCCAGCTGTTGCAAGAAAAGCAAAGGGCTCCTCGCATTCGTATGCTCTACTTGTAAAKGGAGAGCAGTACTGGCTCTCTGCTTTACAGCCCTGCTTTCAGAAATAAGTTTGTCAGCCAAAGTAAAGAGAAAAAGATCAATGGATTGCAATAAACGGCATTTAACATAAAAATGAGTAAAATTTACAATCCTGTTAACTTGTTAAATGTTACAAAATCAGCAAACAATAGACACAATTTGTTTTGTTCAGAGCCCAGAGGTAGAGACCAAATCCTCTAAATTAATTTCTGCAAAAGCTGGGGGTTTTTTCCAAACAGGTCTGGATCCTATTCGTTGTAGAATATACTGATTACCAACTATTTTTAAGAGCTTTACACAAACATTATTTCTTTTGTTGTGTGAAATGCAGAATCAGCCATCTGGCAAATGCCCCAGAGCTAAAATCTTTTACATGACATATAATTCAAAATGATTAAATATACAACAGAAAATAGCTATAGCATTGCACTTAAAATAGCATGAACTTTTACTGCCGATCAAAACTGATTTCTTTAGCTTAACAAGTATCCAAAGAACAATTATTTGAAGAGCTTTTAAGAGTTTCAATRTGTAGGAACTAAACCTCATCTAAATTCAGTATCTTAAGTCAAATAAAAAAGAAACAAATGTACAAAAGATTAAATGGTCCTGCCTTCTAAGTAGACATTTAAATCTATGGGAAGCTAAATTCATTCGAACAAAATACTATATTCCCTCTGTATGTGCATTGCTGGGGCTTTCCTCTCCTTGCTCAGGGCATCTGCCAAAACAACTCGTGCATTCTTAGGCAATGACTGGGGACTAGCCTGGAATCAGGCTGTTCATCCACTCCCTCCATCATCAGAACGGGCAATTTCAAGGAAGAACAGGGAATAAAGCKCTGTGCGTGAGCCCTCAGTGCAGTCAATCTTTTTTTTTTTCCCTGCACCACAGTCGACTCAAAGTTGAACTTGCTGTCTTKTTTTCCAGAAATACTCCAGGCCTGAAAAATTGCCAGGTCCTCATCCCACACCCAATTCTGCAGTAGTTTCTGAGAAAGAGCACGCAAACATCTGCATGTATTTGGGGTGCATGAGGGTAGGTACAGAAATATTACCCTGAGCGATTATTGAGTGGTTATGGCTGTTTCTCAACTACATTTTTCAGACAAGTCAAAGTCTACATTTCCCAAAAGGCACTTGGTGCAAGTCAGATCTGAATTGTAAGGGGAAAAAAAGTCCAAACGTAGGTTATTTCTTTCATGGATTTGCATAGTTGGATAAACCTGAAATGGTTGAACACATCACTGCCGATTGAACAAAAAATTTGTGTTTTTTAGTTCTTTCAGACCAAGCATGAGAACCTCCAACCCAAGATAACAAAATTAGGAAGCTTTAAGTCTGTGATTACTAAAGCTTAGAATTGAAATGGCTTTGCTCCCTTGCCTGGGCAGTCAGAGCAGCCTCACAACCAAGGACCCTCAGACGTTCTAACCCCAGACTTCTCTAAACTGTAAGAAAATAATGTCCTTGAATCTTGACCTTTTCAGCTCATAATGATTCCTGAAGCAGCAGGACTTTCTCCTGCTGCTTTTCACAAGACTTTCAGGCTTGTAGAAATGCTGATTGCTGGCTGGCTTGGGACTGCAGCAGCACCAAACCCCCTCTTAATAACACACTTGTCCTCATCTTCTGGGCCTAATCCTGCTCTTAATTCAGTTCCCTGGCTGAGCTCTGAGTGTAAAGGCAGATTTTGTGTCTTTCTGGTCTTGATTTTATAGGAAGAGGTACAAATGTATTTCAGGTAATGTTGATGGCAGAACAGRAAGCTCCCCTATGCACCATACCAATTAAACCTGAAGAAATATGAAAATAGTAGCACAAATATCCTCATATTAGAAAGAGGAAAAGCACGTTTTATATTATTTAACCCATCCCTGRGAAAACCAGAGCAGAAACAAGGCAATTTTCATCAGAAATAAGTTGGGTTTTCACCAAGAGAGGCAACCCAGGAATGTTCCTGAGATCTTTTCCATCACAGGACAAAAAAAAATCCTGTTTTTGATGGTACCTTCTCTTTGAAAGTTATGGGCTTCTCTGATATTCAGRGGGCCTAAAACCTGACTGTCACAAYTYTTCTTGTACCTCCCTGCTTTGCATTCAAAATAATGTCTTGTAGTTTCTACTTTTCACTGAAAAACTGGGAAATCTTCCGATCTTGCTGTTGAGCAAACTCTGTTACAAAGGTGCCAGGAGTCCTATTTCTGGGGGGGAAAAAAAGGAATACCCCTGATGAAACAGGAGCCTGGTCCCAGTATCTATTCAAAATAAACAACGTATCTTCTTACAAACGAGCCTTCCCATTCTTATTTATGTGCTCAATTTTGCGTACTTCGCAATACTGGAAAAAAAGAAAAGCTTGGAGAACACATGGAGAATCAAGAGAAATTTGAGCATCCCCAAGGAAACAGAGGTTTAGGGACGGAGTAATAACTGCAAGGCTGTAATGAGAATTTGGAAAACTCTGCAAGATAAAAACGTATAACAAAGCTGTTGCTGTCATTTCATTCCCTGGGCCTGATTATGTTTTCACGATGGGCTTTTGCACTGCTCTAGTTCTGTGAGTAAATGAGTATCAGACCTCCGAGCTAGCRAAGAGCAGGGCTTGCCAGACTCCTCATGAGCCTCTGTGCTGCTCCACATCCTCTCATCTCCTTGGAGGAGCTCTGGGARAGAGCTCAGGAGGTTCAGATGGCTGTTTTCCTCCCCTCTGCAGTGGTACCTGGACACTGCGGGCACGGCCGTGCCATGGTTGATCTGCTCCTCGTTCCCTTCCACAAACAGCCCAGGAACAATTAGCCATTGCTTCATAATCACAATTAGTGATTGCTTCACACAGGGTGAAAGGTGAGGGCTGGAGTATTCTGAAGCCTGCTGCCAGGCYCGAGGAAGACAGTGTCATTTTGGTAAACCTGTCAAGCTGTTGTAAGAACTTCCTGAATGCTTCCTACCATCTGCTTTTGATGCTTTCAAGACTTGGCTGGAAGCCTGGAGGTTTTCCTGCTCTTTCCTGCCCAACCTATAATGGAGTAATTCTGGATCTGTTCCCTGTCATCTCAGCCTCTTCCTCAGTTTCTTCTGCTTACAGCTGGAGTTTTTTTTTAATTTTTTTTTTCTCTTTACTTCAGTGGCCTTGTGCCCTGAATCATCTCTCCTGGGGCGGCAGGAGTTCCTCTGATGTTGAACAAGTGCCGGGTTTTTCAATTGTGTTCGTGTTCTTGAGAGGAAGGGTCTGGCCTACATGACACATTCCTCCTTCACCCTCACATCAACAACTTTGACTTTGTGTCCAGGTTTTGGCTGCAAGGGCCACACAAAGCCCATCTCCACAGCTCTGTCAGGCTGCACGCTGTGCCGGGCTGCYGAGCCAATATTGATTGATATAATTTGTAGGGTTTGAGATAAATGTCATAAAGGACAATGAGTTCAAAGAACAGATTAAAAAACAATAAATTGAATTCCAAGGCGTTCCCTCCTGTACTAATCTGTGTAGGTTCCTGTGTTTTTGGAAAGCATGTTGCTTATCTTCCTCATCAGTAGGCCCACTGCATTCCAGTATTTTGGATCAATGCCATTTGTAATAATCTAGATCAGTTTTTATTCAACGTTTATAAAACAGGCCATGTATCACAGGGTATATTTTATAGCAGATGGTATCTCCAATTCATTTCAACCCCCCCACTTCCCTCCTCCAATATCACAGTGCATACTCACAAAAGCTCTCGCAAGTAGAGCAGAGAGAATTTTTTTACAACAAATAGTAAATTTACTGAAAAATGGAGTTTCCAAGCAACAAAACTGTTAAACTGTGGCACACTGAAAATGAAATGTTCTGTTTTCTAGAAAAAAAAAAAGGTTTTGCAATTTGGATATTTGAGAAAAGGAAAAAAAAAGCAGGGTGGGTGGTTGCTTTCACAAATCAGTTTCATTTTAAAAACCTCTGCACTGAAAAGGTGATAACACAAAGATTAAATAACCAGAACAGAAAGTAGTTTTTTTYMRG